TTGTTTGGGAGAAATTTGGGCTATCAATTGCAGGGGGAGATTCATCTATTGTGGGCTGGTTTAAGGCTGTTTTCAGTGCTTTAGCATAGGCAAAAAAGTGCAGATTTGTTATGCTTCTTTGGAGTGTTTGGAAGCAAAGAAGCAGTGTGGTCTGGGACGGAGCTGAGTTCTGGCAGAGGGTGTTTGGATGGATGCAACATCAAGCTTGGAGGGCAGGCACACTGCATATTAGATGTATCTTTGATGTAGTTGCATTACATTTTAATGTATTAGGTTCACATTAGTGATAAATTGATAATCAACAACTTACCACGATCTTTGAAAAGCGCTGATTTTCCTTGCACCAACCGTTTTTTAAATGAATAGTGACACAATCTAAAAAAATAAAGGTTGTGTTTGGGCTCTAGATTTTGTCACACATTTATATAAAATTGAATATTTAGTCATATTTATAAATATTCATTATAAAATCATCACATACAACGCACGGTAAAAATTCCATTAAGTTCAAATGTGATTTGGATAATTGGATCTGGTCCTAATTATTTTTTATTTATAAGATAAGGACAAATTTGGTGTATAGCAGTAGAGTTCACATTGCATCCAGTCATGGACCCGGGCCGGTTCCGGTTCCGGGCCGGGCCTGGCTGGGCTTTCTTTTGGGAAGGAAGGCCCGGGACCGGCCCGGGTAGCCACCGGGTCCGGGCCGGGTAGCCACCGGGTCCGGTCCGGGCCGGGCTAGGCCTCCGGTTTGGTCATATTTTTTTTTGCTTTCCTAACCCCCCCCCCTCACCCCCACCCCCCCCAACCCCTCCTAACCATCAAGCCCAACCCGGGTAACCCCAAAAAATGAAAAAAAAAAAAAAATCAATTCGGCCCGGACCCGGGCCCGATTTGGCCGGGCCGGTTCGCCAAATACAAGGCCCGAGCCCGGATCCACCCCCCCCACCGGGCCTAGGCCCGACCCAGACCTGGACCCGAGAACCGGGCCGGTTCCGGTTCCGGGCCGGGCGGCCCGAACCGGGTCCATGACTAATTGCATCTATACTATAAGATAAAATCTTATAGTATAGGGTGTGGTCTCTTACACACCTTTACGCATGTGTCCCATTTTTTATCTCACAATTTTTATGTGTAGTACTCACGTATTTCCTAATTTATTTTCATTTTCATTTTTTATATCACTTTTAACACACTTTTCATCAACTTTTCTTCCTCGAATCCCGTGTAAGGTCCATATATGGACCTTGTCATAGACCTTGGTCCATTTTTACCTCTATTTCTCTCCTCTTTTTCATTTTCCCCTACACACCACTTCATCCAAATATTTATTCTATCTCTATTTCGCTCCTATGTCACATCAGCTCCAATGCACCCTCGCATTGGAGATGCTCTAATTGATTTGGAATTAGAATAAATGTGTATCTTGTGGGTTGATCTCGGACATAAAAAATACTACGGCTAAAGTGATTTTGAAAAGTAAAAGTGGATAGTGTTTGGTGAAATAAGTGCTTTTTGTGTAATAGAAAAAGTAAAAGCACTTTTGACGCGGAAGCCGAGAAAAATAAAAGTTATAGTGTTTGGAAAATAAGTGCTTTTTTAAAGTCAAAAGCTGAGAAGTGCTTTTTTAAAATAAGTCTGTACACGCATGCATACATTGAGGTCTTTACGTACGTTCAGCATCCATATACAAAGGTCTATGAATCTAAATGGTTTCTAGGTTTAACAAAAGATTATTGTTATCATAATTAAATCTATTTTATAAATACTTTAAGGTTGCACATTTCTTTGAGACTAAAAGATTAAAATTTTAATAGATAGTTACTTAGTTTTTAAAATCATGAAATGTATTTAGCCAAAAACATCCCGTGCAACGCACGGGTGAGGATTCTAGTAGTATTTAATTCAAATGAAATAGATTTCCTTCGAAAAGGTGCTAGCTTTTTTAATTCGAGGGTGTGACTAGGCTTGAAACCGATCGATCATGAAGTAATTAAATGAGTGGATAGAGGTTGAAATTAATGAAGAATTGGAAAAAGAAAGTAGTTTGTAAAATGGAAATAAGGTGATAGCGTGAAGGTGTTTTTACAGAAAAAACTTATCAAATAAAGAATTGTTGACAAATATGGAGTAATAAGAAGTTCTCAAAAAGAAATATAGAGTATGTGAAAAGTACTACTTCTGTCATTTCAAAAAAATTGAACCATGATTTTGATTAGTATAATATCATGGAATTGAAGTTAATAATTTTATACTTTTATGAAAGTACTTTCAACAAAGAACATTTTCATATAATTTTTTATATTATAAATAATTTTCAATAAAAAGATATAATTGATCAAAATTTTGAAAATGATAAAGTTTTTTGGGACCGAGGTAGTAATAAAGACGGATAAAGTAAACGCTGATTAGTACGAGTATTGTGTAATGTTTATAAGGAAAAGTGATTTTTAAAAGCTAAAAGCTACTACCTCCGTTCCTATCTAAATTCTCTCTTTCTTTTTCGAGTCGTCCCTAAAAAGGTCTTTTTTCCTTATTTGGTAAACAAAATAGTGCTAAAAAGTGTCAAACAATGTTCAAACAATGCCAACCAATGCTACTTTTTTAAATTGTGTGTAAAAGAAAGTGCACCTTTATATAGGGACGGATGGAGTATAATAGTTTTGAAAAAACATTTCATAATATCATACTCGGTAGGATGTAAAAAGTAAAAGCCATTATGAGCATTTAACAGTAAACGATTAGCGAAAACAAATTATGTTAGCGGGTTGTTAATAGCTGATTCAGTCATTGCCTTTGACAGAGGGAGTAAGTTAGCGGGTTACAACAAGATGTTTGATTGAACATCTAACAAGAATGGCCTATTTCAAAATGCCAACAAAAAATGCTACTAGTTCTATTTATCGCGTTTCCGTTTCAACGGTTCCATCCAAAACCGCTATGGTTAAACATCTATTTACCAAACAATGTTTTCACTTATTGAACACGCTAAAGAGAGTCGAACCGCTATTTCTTTGAATTGGTTGAAACGTCATTTTCTAAACACCCTTTTAAGCTCAGCTCTGAAAGTGCTTAATGTGAACATAATAATCACTTACTTCAAAACATTACTTTTACTTTTATACAAAAAAAACAGAGAATCGCAAAAAAAAAAAAAAAAAAAAAAAAACGGAGAACATTTTTTACTACTGGAAAACACTTGAAAATCAACATATCCAACAGGGGACCAACGGTCATTTCAGCTTAAGGCAATCTCTACACATATAAGAGGTGGGAAATGAGATCAACCCCTACCGCAAAAAAAGAACACTACAAAAAATGTGTGACAAAAAGTCCTTTACTAAGTTCGTGACAAAGTTATCACATACGAAATCCGTGACAAAAATACCTGTTTTTCGTAGTGGAAGAAGAGAATTGTGATCAAATAAAGCTAAGAAACCTGATCAAGGGATGTGAAGTTATCAGGGATGAACTGGTAATTGTTATTCCTCCTCTTCTTGTGAGCTGTACCCAGGGGCGGAGCTACCCTATTGCTTAAGGGGGCCATGGCCCCTCCCCAAGTTTTTTATTTTTTTGTAATATTATTATTATATTTTGTTTTGCCCCCCCTCCCCCCAACAAATAATGCATACGGTGTAACTAGATGTCTAGATCAATTCAAAGATAAAATCCTACTGCATAGTGAGGTTGTTTTGGCCAACTAAAAAACATACTCGTATTATATATATAAAAAAGATCCTCCTAATGCGTAAATATCGAGTAGTTTGTGCAGGAGGTCTAGTTATTTTATTGAATCGTTGATGTTTAAATCTCTATTTTTGAAAGCTTTGAAGCTTTCAAGTTATTAAAACACATAATAAGGAAAAAACATATTGTTATTGCCAAAAGCTTGTTGGTATATATCAATATAGAATTGTCGTTACCTCCTCATAAACTATATATCACATACTTTCTCCATTCTTAAATAAGTATAATAATCTATTTTAACTTTTGACAATGCATAACTTTGACCATTAATTTACATTATCCTTTATGATTAAAAAAAGTTAAAAAACAAATTTGAAAATTTACAATAACACAAATTTATCAATACTTTTTTAAAAATAATTTATTAATACATTTATAAATAAAGCATTGTCAAAGTAGAACATGTGAGTACTGTAAAATTCAACATGTTGCACTTATTTAAGAACAGAGGAAGTATATTTTTTCAATTTTTTCGTTTTTTAGAATGTAATGTATAACATACAATTTTCCTTTATGTAGTGATTGCTTTTTTATATTATATTTCGCCCCCCCTCATAGTGAAGTCTGGCTCCGCCCCTGGCTGTACCACTTGCCAAGCTGGAAGGGCGGTGGGTTGGCCGGAGGAAACTCAAAACACAGCCCATCTATATATCCCAGCTTCTTTCTTCTTTAAAATCGTTTCTTAATAACAGTACGAATGGGTATTTTAAGCTAATTACGTTAGAGGTTGATTGCGATATCCATCCGCTTTAGGCAAAGCCTCATCATCTCTTCGTTGCTTTGCTTGCTAAAGTACAAGAGAATACGATTCCATATTACTTTTTCATAGAATAAATGATCGGTGCGAATTTAATTTGACCCCCTTTAGCCCTTTGCACGACACTAACTACCTATTAGTCTATTACTAATGCGTAATTCCTTATAAATGTTCCTCATTAACTTTTTTGGTCCCACAATGCAAAGTTAGATAATTAGATTTAAGTAATTAAAAAAAATGAGTCTAGATATATGCAATTGTTAATTTGATGAGTTTTATTTTGGATTCCATTTCGAAAATATGACATTATGACGGACATGGTTAAATGAAAGAATGACATATTTATGACTTAGTATATAATTGTACATAAAATTGTGACATCGTAAGTGTAATTAATATGGCACAATAACTTTAATCAGCTTATGTGCTGTTACACATAAGTTATACGTAGTACATAATAACTTTTAGTCATATTTTTTAGTATAAGAAATAAAACTTCCGCTCCAAGTCGTAGCAACTTATTCTGATAAGCAAAAAAACCTTCCGCCCCTGGACATAGCAACCCCGCCCCTGGTCTACAGCTTGTGCCGAATATAAACGAACCTTCCGCCCATCTTCCGCCGAAGAGAAAACCCCTTCGTCTCTGGCCTTGGGTCTATTTTTTTTGAAAGGAAACTAAACATTTTGTTAAATCAACTTCTCATTTTCCACGAGGGATACAATGCAATCAGGAGGGGAATAAAAATGTAGTGAACCATCCGTCATAGAAAGTGCAGCTCTAGCCAATTTGTGAGCTACTCCATTCGCGGACCTCTTGCAATGAATGACATCAATACTAGCTTCATTATGAAGAATATGTCTAATATCTTCAATAATCACATCGAAATAAGACTCGCCAATTCTGTCCATCAAACTGGAGACCACCAATTGAGAATCAGTTTCCAATATAATACTAGACCAACCTTGACCCTTTATCCATGTTAAAGTTTCCCGGATTCCAATAGCTTCTGAAATTCCCGCTGACCAAGCGGCCGAAACAGTCTTGCAGCCTCCTCGTAGAAAACAACCCTCTTCATTTCTAGCAACCCAAGCCCAAGCTCGTTTTCCCCATCCTAAATCCAGAGCCGCATCCACATTTACTTTGATTGTGCCCACCAACGGCTTCTTCCAACTGACTGATTCCACCGCCCCTTTATTTCTTCCGAATACCTCTCCCTATGCAGCCTTCCAACTCCGAAGGACAGCAGCCCCAATTTCCACCACTTGCCTCCATGACACTGCCTTAAGCTTCCAAACTTTGTCGTTACGCGACTTCCAGAGGCTCCACATGCTAGTAATAAAGTAACACAATTCATCATGTTGCAGGTTATCAAAGTAGCCCTGAACCCAAGCAATAAAAGTCTCACCTTGTCTCACAAAACGCGTGCCCAGGTGCTGCCAAATGGCGTCAGCTACTCGGCAATACCGAAATAAATGGTCCTCCGTTTCGGAATCCTCCTCGCACAACATGCAAACATCATCTATATTGACCCTTTTCCTCCATAGATTAACCGCAGTAGGCAAAACCCCCGACATAAGCTGCCAAAAGAAGCATTTTATTTTAGGAGGAATACACAAATTCCACATTTTTGTCCATCCCACCCAACCGTTAACAACATGTTCACCCCGCAACAACCTATACCCAGATTTGACAGTATAGGTTCCTTTTTGGATCCTCATTCCACCACACACTGTCAACAACATTCCTTCTACTTAATGGAATAGAAAGAAAGAATGGCTTTACTTTCCTCCACCGAGAATAGCGCTTCTACCTTTTGGACATTTCAGCATTCCCCGTTTTCGGATACAAGTGCGGCAACATTCATATCGGCAGTTCCAGTCGGAGGAAGTGTATGAATTTTACCGTCTCCCGCCCCTGGTAACCACCGCTCCTTCCACACTGAGGTAGACTGACCGTTTCCTATTCTCTTGCACATGCCTCGTTTAATAAGTTCTTGATGTTGTCAACGATATCAAATCCTCTTGGGATTGGGGGCTAGCGTCGATCTTTAAGAAATCAACCTATTAGCGTTCCATTAGCCAACTCAACCATATTAATGTGTTAATCTAACGAGTGTATTCAATTAACACTAAAAAATCAAGTTTGTGTACATAAAAATATCAGATACAATATAATGTACTCTTTACTCCACCTTATATAAGTTGATGTATTCAATTGACTCTTTCCTCTTAAGTAATTAGAATTAAAAGTCAATAACTGTAAACATAGTCAACCAAATATCAACTATTCAACTTCCGAAGTGAAGGTCATTGGGAGCGTAATTAGAATAAAAAGTCAATAACTGTAAACATAGTCAACCAAATATCAACTATTCAACTTCCGAAGTGAAGGTCATTGGGAGCTCAATTAATTGTCCGTATTTAATTTGGTTTATTTGCACTGATCGACAAAGAAGTAAGCGGTGGCGGGAACGCTTGACCCAATCCAACATTCCAACCCTTCAATTCACAATCAAAAAATTAAATTATGGGTTAGGTGAAAGTGTGAGACTCCTTCCAATTAAGGTCCGTTTGGTGACTTATCTTTTCTGCATACCAGTCCTAGCTGTTAACCAATTTTTACTGGATACATAGTAAGTAATTTTTAACTTTGTGTGTTGAATTGTATAATATCAATGTAAGTAAGGTTAGTATACTTTTCTGGCTTAAATTACTGTACAAGATAATTCTTGTTATATTTCATACTCCCTCCTCTGTGTGTAACAGATCATAGCATTAGCCATTAGACTTTGACACAATATTTAAGGAAAAAATAGTAGAAATAATGAATAGTGTAGAAAAATGGGAGAAAAGTATAAAAGAGAGGATAAAAATTAGAATATGTAAAAGTAATTGATTATTTTTAAAGAAAAGACTTATCAAAAAAGAAAAGTGTAGCAAATTTTCAAATATGTCTTAAATAGGAAAGTGAGGTAAACTTTAAAATATGGAGGAAGTATAAGTTTTCTTTATTTTATTAATCAAATATATTTAAACATATTTTTGTATATACAATTCAACAGATTTAGCTAATTCAGCCGCTCCAGCCAGAACATTATAAACGTCAACAAACTCAATTCATTCAACTAATTTTATTGTTACCAAACAGACTAGTATGACCTCCTTCTATTTTGAGGTAGACATTCTTAAATTTTTAGTGAGTGACAGTATACTTTAATTTGATTAATCATCTTAACTAATACAAAGAATATTTTTACAAAATTTATAAATTTTATATTTTTTAAAGGAAAAGAAAAACTCTATTAAAATACCAATGGAACCAAGAGATACAACCATCTAATAGCTCCAAATAGATCATTTATCTTCCAACATCCAAGCTCAAGAAAAATCCTATGACCAGACTCGGAGACGTCCACCACCAAAGAAACAACGTGAATCACTGACCACCAAGTGAGTAACATATAGAGTCCTTACGAACCTTTACGGCCACCGTACTCTAGCTTTATGACGTGCACTTTGTCGTGTGTGCACTCAAAATAATTTCAATACTAACACTTATACGTAGTATAGCGTAGTAAGGTTCGTATCCACAGGGAAAGGAATACTTTTCTTTTTATAGAACTAGTAACAAAATGGGGGGGGGGTAGTTTGATTTGGTTTAATAAATTAAACACGAAGATGAACGAGTTATGTGGTTTAATTAATGAGAAGAAGACTTGGCTTTGCTTTTATCCACTTAATGAAATGTTTGTCGATCCCGGTTATATCTTTAACTATCTTCCTCTCGAATACTCAATCGAGGAGTATATCCAGTTCATCGAGGGTAGTTATTAATAACGAGATGCGTTCATTAATAAAACTTACTATCGAGTCAATATAGAACAAGTGCCGTATATTAACTTGATAGTAGCAATAAACTTAAGATGAAAACGATTGACATTGATAACCTCAACACAAGCGGTTTATTGGTTTAATCAATATAATTAATTCCCCTTGGCTTATTAACCATGAGAAGCATACATTAACAACCCAAGTTTACTACCATTGAGAGAACCGAATTAATAACAAACGTATTAACCGATTGATTCTAGTAATAATTAATATATGAAACAAAACTAGTTGATCCTTTAAATAATGTTCAAAATATTAATATGAAATATGAATAGGAATTAATTAATACTCAAGGAAGAATATTAAAGAAGATGAATCCTACTATAGTTAATATCAAGATGTTAACTAATTGTCATCTTAGTAACACTCCCCAATATTAACATAGAGGAAGAAATAGCTATTACTATAACTAATGTCAAGATGTTAACTAATTGTCATCTTAGTAACACTCCCCAACATTGATATAGAAATAGTATTTAAAGGAAGAATTAATATTCAAGGAAGAAGATTAAAGAGAATAACTCACAACTTACAAATTCATTAAGCTTCAAAGTAGCAAAACCAAGATGGAAGAGTTTAGCTCCTCATTTGGAGACTAAACATGATGGAAAATATAAAGAAAACACTAATCTAAACTGAGCTAAAGAGTATATGTGAATTGGTCATTTTATTGGGAAGGAAAGGGGTGTATTTATAGGCTTTTGGGAGCTGCAGGGTCTGATACCCGACCGGGTATATAGGATACCCGACCGGGTATCTCAGGAAATTGCCCAGAAAGTGATTTTTCTGGGCATACCCGATCGGGTATGTGACAAATCTTTATGAAAATTTGCTCCCACGATCATTTGTCTTCGGATTTGATTTGGACAGTCAAATCAAGCAATTACCCGATCGGGTATAGGCAATACCCGACCGGGTACATGAGTATTTTTTCCAAATCGAAATCTTTCTTGTCTCCTTGCACTTTCCTTGATCTTTTAAGGTCCAATCTTGATCCCTTAGATGATCTTTGACCTGTTTAGCTCAGAAAAATCCTAATCTAACTAAATTACAAATAAAAATGAAAATAAAGTATTACACCAAAAGTGTGTAATTCCCACAACTAGAACTAATAAAAACTAGTTAAAAATACAAACATACAATCGGAAATTACATGAATATCACTTTAACACTTCACTAGACTCATAATATCCAAAGAGTCCCTTCAATCCCTAACCAAGTATAGAAAAGTTCACCTAACATGCACTGAGCCAGACTTTTCATTGAACATATGATAGCTTCAAAGGAATCAAAGGCCTTAGAAGTCCCAAAATCACCAATCATATATAAATTAGACATCTCATGATCTCAAGACTGTCACGAACACAAACAAACCAAAAACAAGGTAAACAGTCTAATGAAAAATAATAAAACTTAAAAAAAAATATAAAACAAATAAATAAAAGTGGCCAATTATCAATTTGAACCTTCGTCTTCCAAACCCTAGTCACTCGTTCACTCCATGGTAGTGGTTCAGGTGGGGGATGCATCATTAACACTTCAATTCATCTTCTTCATCCAAGACAAGACAATCATAGACATGCATGTTCAAAATCATCAAACTCGTCATGCTTTTTACCGATTCTGTTCTCTGCCATTCCTTAGCCCTATGCTTAAGGCTCAGGATCAAAATCATTCATACTCTAAGCCACATACGAAAACGCCGCCACAAAGTGTATCTTAACAGGTACCTTTACCCCGCTCTTTAATTTTGCTGGTATTCATATGCCTTAATAAACATAATTTTATGTTTGCTGTTTCATAGGTGAATAGTGATTTGGCATATTAAAAAATATTTGAAAATCTATCCAAAAGAAAATTCGTCACTTTGAAATCTATTCAACAACAACATCATCAACAAATTATGAAGATACATGATGTGAATTAAAGATTAACTAAATTCAGAGATTTAAAAGAAATAAATAAAATAAATGCGATGTGCAAGATTGATTGTTTGGAAAATTAAACTAATGTGAATGAACGATTAAATAAAAAGATGGTTTTCTTCTCAATTAACGACGAAGGGAACAGGGATTGATTCCGGGGTAACCAGATTTCTGGCAGATCAGGCCTAATTACATAAAATTAATTTAATTGAACCTAGCTAATCATTACTAAGTTCTTACCACTCTCGCGGTGTAGAGTACAATAATTTAGGAGACCAGACTGATTTCTCATGCGACATAGCGATGACGTGCACTTGTCGTGAGGTGCACTCAAAATAAATATCAATACAACACTTATACGTAGTATAACGAAGTAAGGTTCGTATCCACAGGGAAAGGAATATTTTTCTCTTTATAAACTAGTAACAAGGGGGGGTTTAGATTGAGTAATCTTAAATTATATTTAAACACGAAGATGAACGAGTTATGTGGTTTAATTAATAAGAAGAAGACTTGGCTTTGCTTTTATCCACTTAATGAAATGTTCGTCGATCCCGGTTATATCTTTAACTATCTTCCTCTCGAATACTCAATCGAGGAGTATATCCAATTCATCGAGGGTAGTTATTAATAACGAGAAGCGTTCATTAATAAAACTTACTATCGAGTCAATATAGAACAAGTGCCGTATATTAACTTGATAGTAGCAATAAACTTAAGATGAAAACGATTGAGATTGATAACCTCAACACAAGCGGTTTGTTGGTTAATCAATGTAATTAATTCCCCTTAGATTATTGACCATGAGATGCATGCATTAATAATCCAAGTTTACTACCGTGAAAGGACCGAATTAATAACAAGCGTATTAATCGACCGATTCTAGTATTAATTAATATATGAAACAAAACTAGTTGATCCTTTAAGTAATGTTCAAAATATTAATATGAAATATCAATAGGAATTAATTAATACTCAAGAAAGAATATTAAAGAAGATGAATCCTACTATAGTTAATATCAAGATGTTAACTAATTGTCATCTTAGTAACACTCCCCGATATTAACGTAGAGGAAGAAATAACTATTACTATAACTAATGTCAAGATGTTAACTAATTGTCATCTTA